ACGCGCACGCGCACGCGCACGCGCACGCGCACGCGCACGCGCACGCAGAGCAGACGCAGACGCAGACGCAGATGCAGACGCAAGCGCAAACGCTCACGCGCACGCGCACGCACAAGCGCACGCGCACGTGCACGCGCACGCACACGCTCACACGCTCACACGCTCACACGCTCACACGCTCACACGCTCACACGCGCACACGCGCACACGCGCACCCACACGCGCACACGCGGCGCACACGCGCACACGCACACGCAGACACACTCGCACGTGCACGCGCACGCGCACGCGCACGCGCACGCGCACACGCACACGCACACGCACACGCACACGCACACGCACACGCACACGCGCACGCGCACACGCGCACGCGCACGCGCACGCGCACGCGCACGCGCACAGAACAAGCACAAGCACACGCACCACGCACACGCACACTGCACGCGCACGCCACGCGCACGCGCACACGCACGCGCACGCGCACGCACACACGCACACAAGCAACACGCACACGCACACCAATGACACGCACACGCACACAAGCACGCACGCGCACGCGCACGCGCACGCGCACGCGCACGCGCACACGCACACGCACACGCACGAGCACACGCACACGCACACGCACACGCACACGCACGCGCACGCGCACGCGCACGCGCACGCGCACGCGCACACGCACGCGCACGCGCACGCGCACGCACAAGCGCACGCGCACGCGCACACGCACGCGCACGCGCACGCACACACACTCGCCCGCACGCAGACACGCCCGCGCGTTCACACGTGCACACACGCGCACACGGACACACGCTCCCATATACACAAACAAACACACAAACACACAAACACACAACACGCACACAAACACGCACCCGCACAACACATCACACACAACACACACATACACACAACACAACACAACACAACACAACGCAACACAAGACAAAACAAGACAAGACAACATCGGGCTTGGCTTTTCAACTCTTATACTGTAGAGGCCGAGCGGTTAGCATAATCGCGCTCTCGTGGTAACTTGCTTAACCTTACTGCCTTGAACTTTAGTGCAACCGAGTAGTCCCGAGTTAAAAGGACGGGTATCTTTCACACTCGCGCTCACAGCAGCGATTACCACACAATGCATTGCCCTAAAGCCGACGAACGGCAGCTCATGTTCAAAACAACACTCTGGCAGACCTGTCCAGGGCCAACGCTGGTGCACGAATGTATTTGGCGGTTTCGCATGTAGGAAGCAGACTGAGGCAGGGACGTATTTTGAGTATGGAAGAGGAAACACACGAGGCTGGATGAAGGACGCAGGAGGAGGCAGAGGGGAGGAACGAGGATGGAGAGATGATGTCACCCTCTTCCCTTTCTCCGCTGCCGGCCGCTGTAAAACGTCACACTTGACACCATTTCTGTCTCCTCCTCCGTTCGCAAGCCCTGGGCGACGCGCGCAACGCCTAGAGCCCCTCGTCTTTCACTCCTCCCGCCTCCCTCGTCTCCCCCTCCTGCTTCCCCTCTCTTATGCTACTCCTCTTCGCTCTCGTTTCCCTCAACCTCACCTCCGCTCTTACCCCGACCCATCCTCGTCCTCCCTGCTATTGATAAACACTTCGCAGGCGCGGTCGGTTCCCGTCCAGCGCGGCTGCGTCGCCGACGGATTCGGGTGAAGCGCGCCCCGCACCTCAGGAGGCTTAGTCGAGCTGGTCGATCAGCTTCCTGAGCCGGCGCACCTCGGGCGGCAGCGCAGCCGCAGGTGGTGAAGACGGCTGAGCCGAGGGCACCGAGTCCAGGGCGTGCAGCCCCTGCACTTCTCAGAGCAAAACTTGGCTGATCCAACCACTATGATATCAACTGGCGAGGCCCCCCTGGCAATTCTCAGGCGCTGCTCTGACGGCCCTGCAGGGAACCCGTGTGGCCCTCGTAAGGCCCCTTGGGGCGAAACGCCTTCAAGGGCCTGAGCTACACAGGATGACAACCTATCGCGTATTCACTTCCTGAAGCCGAAACGTCTAGCATACCGTTGCTTGCTGCTGCTTTGAATATGGCTGGATATGGCTGGCAAGTGCGCGCTGGCAATTCAAATGCGGCAACGTTGATTGGCCCACGTCACCGTGATATTTCTCGCCCGAAGAATTGCAACCATACCATGGTTTGGTCGGTATCGGATTGTCACATCAGTGGGCGAGGTAGTAGGCGAAGTTTTGGTGCACGAGGGTATCATTACACGAAGAGTTGTGTGTGAAGAAGTCCCCGCACGACTCTACGAAGAACCACCAATGGAGAACCCGTGGCTGTACCGTAATTGTCGCGTCGTTGCCCCGCAATTGTCCCGACGTTGTTCCGTGGTTGTCTGTTCGGAGATTGCCCCGTGGTCGTCCTATGATTGTCCCGTGGTTGTCCAGTGGTTGTCCTGTGGTTACTCCGTGGCTGTCGATGGTTACATAATGAAATCAATGCATGTGTACTCAGATCGGCGGATGGATTTTTAGAAATATGAGTGAGCAATGAAACTGGTTCATAAGATCGATGGGTAGTGAGACCGATCGGTATGGCATGTCATCGGCAAACATATGGCGAACGTGTGGGCTTACATACACATATATACTCACATGGCTTAATCAACGTTGATCATACACTGTGTGTTTCTAGCCATATGTGTTGAGCCATCTATGTTATGCAATCTTTGTGGTGCAATCTACGATGCGCAATCTGTGGGCCAATACATGTGGTGCAACCTGTGTGGTGCAATCCATTTTGTCCTACCAATATCGTGCAACCGATGCTGTGACATGTGTGTTGTGACATATATGTGTTGCAATTTATGTTAAGCAATCTATGCGGTGCAACCCATGTGGTGCAATGTATGTGGAGCAAAATAAATGGTACAAGCTATGTTGTGCAATTCACTTTGACTGTCTTGAAGCTGTCCTCTCCACTGCTCGTGCAAACGTCCCACCCTCCCACCTGCAACTTGGTCGCAAGACCTCTTAAGACCGTGACGGTAGGTACCAAATGGCACTTTGCAGCGACACCGACGCCGACGACGACAGCGACAACGACGACGACGGCGCCGCCGACAACGACTACGACGACACCGGCGGCGTCTGCAACGACTTCGACGACGACGGCGACGACGACGACACCGACGACGCCGACGCCGACGATGACGACGACGATGACAACGCCGACGACGACGACGCCGACGACGACGCCGACGACGACAACGACGAAAACGACGACGACGTCGCCAACGAAGACGGCGACGACCAGGGAGGAGGGAGGACGACGACGGCGACAACGACGACAACGACGAGGGAGGAGGGAGGATGGCGACGACGCGAACGACGAAAAAGGCGGGAGGACGGCGACGCCGACGACGGCGACGAGGGAGGAGGGAAGACGACGACGACGACGACGGCGACGAAATAGGAGGGACGACGACGACGAGACGCTGACGACGGACGACGACGACGACGAGGGAGGAGGAAGGACGACCACGGCGACAACGACGGAAACGACCACGACGCCAAGAGGACGACGATGACGACGACGAGGAAAGACAGAGGACGACGACGGCGACGACGCCGACGAGGGAGGACGGCGACGACGACGACGCAAGAACGCGCGCGCGCGCTTGTGTTGAAAATCCGCGTTGCGAAACCATGCGTTTGTTTTTTTGTTTTTTTGTGTTGTTTTGTTTTCGTTTTGTTTTTTATATGTTTTTTTGGACACTCGATTTTGAAATCCTTCCGGAACCGAATGTTTTGACGGATTTCGGCATGCGCGAGCGACGACGCGCGCGCGTGCACTTCGTCTCAATTTTTTGCAAAGGATTCTCGCGACGGCATGCGCGCAAGGGCGTTCGGAAGATTTCGACATGCGCGCGCTCGAAACCCGTTTGGTAGTATTTGTTGAACATCTTGGAAAACCTGTGGCTTTCTTAAGATTTCTAAAGAGCGTGCGCGCAAGCTTTTTTAGAACATCAATGTTGCGAAACTTTTGTTTGAAACTCGATTATGCAATCCTTCCGAAACCAACGGTTTTTGAAGGATTTCGGCATGCGCGCGCGACGACGCGCGCGCGTGCATTTCGTCCCATTTGTTTCAAGGAATTCTTGTAAAGTTATGATTTTTGAAAAACGAGTACGCGCGCATAGAATTTGTTCCAGAGGATGGCAAGGGGGGTGATGCCGATTTGGCTGGGATAGTCTGATTTCACAGGTAGGATGGACGATGTGTCAGAATCCGGTGTGTCTTGCATCGGTTCCCGGGGGTCTTTCACCCCAGGGGGGGAGGGTGGTAGAACCTATTCTCTTTTTTAGAAAAGGAGAACCTATGCTTTGCAATTGATTGTTACCCATGATTTGACGCATCCCACGCTCTTGCAAACATCCCACCCACCCACCCGCAACTTGGTTTGCAAAACCTCTTAAGACCGACTACGACGACACCGACGACAACGACTACGACGACACCGACGTCTCCGACGACGTCAACTACGCCGACGCCGACGACGACGACGAACACGACGACGACGACGCCAACGAAGACGACGACAAGGGAGGAGGAAGGACGACGACGGCGACAACGACGACAACGACGACAACGAGGGTGAAGGGAGGAGGGAGGACGACGCGAACGACGAAGGAGGAAGGACGGCGACGCCGACGACGACAACGACGAGGGAGGAGGGAAGACGACGACGAGACGACGACGACAACGACGACGACGACGACGGCGACGAAATAGGAGGGACGACGACGAGACGCCGACGACGGACGACGACGACGACGAAGGAGGAGGAGGAAGGACGACCACGGCGACAACGACGACGGAAACGATCACGACGCCAAAAATGACGACGACGACGAAAACGAGGAAAGACACAGGACGACGTAGGCGACGACGACGACGACGCGGGAGGAGGGAGGACGGCGACGACGACGACGACGCCACAAGAGCGCGCGCGCGCACGCTTTTGTTGAAAGTCCGTGTTGCGAAACCTTGTGTTTTTGTAGGTTTTTTGGACGCGCGATTTTGAAATCCTTCCGAAACCGATGGCTTTTTGAACGATTTCGGCGTACGCGCGCGACGACGCGCGCGTCTGCACTTCGTCCCGTTTTTTGCAGAGGATTCTCGCGACGGCACACGCGCAAGGGCGTTCGACAGATTTAGACATGCGCGCGCGACGCCCGTTTGGTAGCATGTTGTGAAAATCTTGGAAAACCAATGGTTTTCTTAAAATTTCGCAAGAGGTCGCGCGTAAGCTTTTTTAGCAAATCAGTGTTACGAAACCCTGTCTTTTTGTATGTTTTTTTTTGGGGGGGAAATTCGATAGCGAAATCCTTCAGGCACCGAAGGTTTTTGAAGGATTTCGGCATGCGCGCGCGACGACGCGCGCGTGTGCACTTCGTCCCATTTTTTGCAAGGGATTCGTGAAACTGTGTTATGTTAGAACAAAAAATGTCACCGCATAGTGTTTCTGACAAGGGAACCTCAGGGGGATATACCGGTTGGCCTGGGACATTGTGATTTCATATTTGAAATGGACATGTGGTCAGAATCATATGTGATTTACATACCCGAAATGGGGACCGATAGCGCTGGGGGGGGGGTAGAGTCTATTCTCTTTTTAGTCACTCGCCGAACTTGAAGTTGTCAACTCCACTGCTCGCGCAATCATCCCACCCACCCGCCCGCAACTTGGTTTGCAAAACCCATGCGGGACCCAGCACACATATCGCTCCGGGGTCGTCTTGGAGCCCTCGGGGGCGTCTCAAGAGCGCCCCAAGGAGGCCAGAAAAGCAAGACGGCCGACGACGACGACGACGACGACGGCGGCGACGACGACGACGCCGACGTCGACGACGACGAAAACGACGACGCCGACGCCGACGACGACGAACACGACGTCGCCAACGAAGACGACGACGAGGGAGGAGGGAGGACGACGACGGCGACAACGACGACAACGACGACAACGAGGGAGGAGGGAGGACGGCGACGACGCGAACGACGAAGAAGGAGGAAGGACGGCGACGCCGACGACGACAACGACGAGGGAGGAGGGATGACGACGACGAGACGACGACAACGACGACGGCGACGAAATAGGAGGGACGTCGACGGGACGCCGACGACGGACGACGACGACGACGAGGGAAGAGGAAGGACGACCACGGCGACAACGACGACGGAAACGATCACGACGCCAAAGAGAACGACGACGACGAACACGAGGAAAGACACAGGACAATGTAGGCGACGACGACGACGACGACGACGCGGGAGGAGGGAGGACGGCGACGACGACGACGACGACGACGCCACAAGAGCGCGCGCGCACGCTTTTGTTGAAAATCCGTGTTGCGAAACCTGGTGTTTGTGTAAGTTTTTTTTGGACGCGCGATTTTGAGATCCTTCCGAAACCGATGGCTTTCGAAGGATTTCGGCGTACGCGCGCGACGACGCGCGCGTCTGCACTTCGTCCCGTTTTTTGCAGAGGATTCTCGCGACGGCACACGCGCAAGGGCGTTCGACAGATTTACACATGCACGCGCGCGACGCCCGTTTGGTAGCATGTTGTGAGAATCTTGAAAAAAAAACATTAGTTTTCTTAAAATTTCGCAAGAGGTCGCGCGTAAGCTTTTTTAGTAAATCCGTGTTGCGAAATAATGTTTTTTTGGTTTGTTTTTGGAACTCGATAGCAGAATCCTTCAGGCACCGACGGT